CTCGTGTTCCGCTGGAATTTGTTACCGAGCTATGCGAAATTGTTGTATTTTGAAGGGGTTATGCCGCCAAAGAGTGGAGCCAAGGGTGCTAAGGGTGGAAAAGGCGATCCGAAGGGAGCGGCGAAAGCACCGAAGAAAAAGGAAGGCGGAGGCGGTGGAAAAGCCAAAAAGAAGAAGTGGTCCAAGGGGAAGGTGCGTGACAAACTCAACAACATGGTTCTTTTCGATAAAACAGCTTATGATAAGCTGTACAAAGAAGTAAGTTTTTTATTTAGTTTTTTTTTTGCGTTTTTTTTTTTCGCATATGTGGGATGCAAAAACACATTATCGAAGAGTTGTGTGTGTGTGTCTTTACCGATTTTTTATATCGAGACCCAGAAAAGGCACAAGGGTGAAACTTTGGCAACTTTATCTGCACGCATGTTCGAGTCACTGTGTCCAAAATTGACGCCCATGCCCACGTGATTCTCACGTGCGGGACCGTAAAAATTTGTAGCGGTATGAATTGGGGAACCAGGAAAGCTAGAAAGCTGAAATTTTAAGGAGATGTTTTTTAACAGTCGTGGTGGCCAACCTTAATTCTTTTTGCTAGAAGCATCTGCCGGGAAAAAACAGCGCTGTTAGTGACAAAAACCTGCGGGGAGCCGCACTGGTAGTCGGTGAACTCCTTTCAAAAATCATTTTCCATGTAAAATATCTGAAACAAGTTAATAAGTAGGATGTGGAAAATCTGTACTACTTCTCGGCAGAGGTTGTTCAGTCAGGTTTTCTAGCATGTACGGGAAATCTCGAATCCTGAGGAACAGTCACAGATTTCTTGCAAGTTATCATCTGTAAAAAATACTGATGGCGGGCGATACAGTGCAGTTGATAAGTTTGAATGTTTCAGGTCATTACGTACAAACTGATAACGCCATCAGTGGTTTCGGAACGTCTGAAAGTTCGTGCATCATTGGCTAAACAAGGCCTGCGCGAGCTTCTTGCAAAAGGTTTTTTACTCTTTTAATGCGTTCCGTGCGTGCAAAAGCTGCACAAAACATATATTGTCACGGGTTTGTCTGTGTGTATGTGCATGTGTGTGCATGTGTGTGTGTGCGTGTGCGTGTGCGTGAGTGTGTCCAGTGCATCTTGTTTTAGTTTTCTTTCTTGTAGTTGCCGTTACGCGAAGACATCTGATTATGAATTGCTGAGCGCATATCCGGTGCACTGTCCATCAAGATGTGCACAGTAACAGCGCTGAAACTTGTCGTACACTCTAAATTGCTAATCTAACTCTGTTACGCGGGATTTTCATCATTTTTCGTGGTATTTTTGTTTCTGCATTATCCAAAATCTGGTTGATTTGCTACTACTGTTCTACAGGATTCTCCTGAAATCATAGTTATAATCGTTTTAACATCACCTCGTCCTATTACAGCACATAATGATTTAGCTTTGATCCTCTTAATTCCGCGTATTGCTTTTGTGAGTGCATGATGTGGTTGGGGAGATGCCCATCTAGCCGTCGGCGTTTTTGGGGAGGCGAAGAGAGGCGTGGGATGAGTGGCAGAAGTGCTTCGGGCGAAGTGGATATTTCGCTTACTGGATAAGCTGCGAGGCCGAAAATTCGCTGGGATATTCTACTTTCAAGTGCGGTCTTACTTCTGCTTGGAGGTGGAATTCCTTACAGGTGGCCATGAGAAATACTCAGTTTTACAGATTGCAGTGTTGTCTGCCCCTGTAGCTATTAAAAGTGGTAAAAATGAAAAGCAAGCTGTAGACGAATTTCACTGCCCAATTGTTTTGCATTTTTCAAGATTACCTTGAATATAATTCTACAAGTTAGGCAGTATGGGAAATATGCGTGAAGCTTCTGGAGCGAAAAATGAGTTAAATTAGCCACCGTATCATGGGTTTATGGGTTGCAGCTTCCAGGTCAATCCTGAAAGCGCAAACGGTGGGGTGCGCAAAAGCAAGAAAGGGTAATGAAGGTTGGGGGTAAGAGTGAACTAAGACGTTTCGGTCCATTAAGTCATATACATCTCATTTATGTTCGGTGTCTACGCCGTTCTTCCAGTCACTCACGGAACTGAGTGTTTCAGTGGTGAAATAATGGTGTTGATGAAGCGTTTGAGGTTTTGCACTGTGAATGGAACGATCCGGAATATTTACAGTTGCTTTTGTTGCAGGATTGATAAAATGTGTGGTGCATCACGGTGGCCAGCTGGTCTATACGAGATGTACCAAAGCAGACGATGTTGAATGATTTTTGTTGATCCAGTTATTCCATTTGTCGGACTGTTTGTTCCGTTGTGACTGTTTTCATACTGGCGCACCATTTTGTTTAACTTTAAATGATTGAGCGAAACAGGCGACCCATATGAAAATTTGCGCCGATTTCTTT